ACAAGATCTGATTCTTTGGCACTTTACCAAAAGCATCTGAGGCTGGAGGTAGGTATGACTAAAATTGAAGTGTATTACATGCCTAAGGAGATGCTCAGAATTGGGCTGTGGCCAACCTCATGCATTAAGTTGTTTGAACTTTGTTATTTTATTAAGGAAATGGATTGCAGATTTATCACTTATTTAGCATTGATAGTGCATGACCACCTGTTCTGTCGCAACACCTCACTGTGATGGGAGACACGCAAGTGCGTGACCCCAGGTATTTACAGGCTAGGCAAGATAAAACCAGCCGGTTTTCTGTAAAATTTTCCAATTTAAAGAGGAGGACATGATTGCTGCTGCAACTGAGGCAGTGAAGAAGCACGGCTGAGATGCATTGGCAAGGATGATGGGATGCAAAAATGGAAGAACACACATTACACACAAGAAGGGGTGGGTGTTGGGCAGAAGTCATTTCTATAGGCAGCACTACTTCCTGAAGAGATCAGAGGGCATGAAATCCAGCTGGAGGGGTTGGTGTAATATGGTCTGGAGCCTAATGGACATGGGAGAGAACTTCAAAGAGAGCTCCACGTGGGATTAGGACACCCCAGAGGGAGGGTGCCTTAGCTGAGGAGGGCAAACAGGGAGGTATATGGGGTTGAAGAAGTGGGGAAGATCAGCTAGTGGAGTGGGGAAAAGAGCAGTTGTTACCTCCACACAAGAAGTGGGAAGACAATGGAGAGGAGCACAGGCCAGACCGGGGGAGCGCGAGCCGGCAGCGCGGAGCCAGGGCCGGGACGAGCGGGCGGCGGCGCGGGCGGTGGCAGGGGAGGAGGAGCGAGCGGAGCGCGGCCCGGGCTGCGCTCCCTTCCCCGGCAGATGCTCCCGGCGGCCCCGGCGGCGGTGGTCCCGGCCGTCCCCGCCACCCCCGGGGGCTTTCCGCCCCCTCTACTGCTGGCGGGTCCCCGGGCAGCCCCGGTGCCAGCGATGCCGTGGGTCCCTCCCGGCACCGGCGCCGGCACCGGCACCGGCACTGGCATCTGCTCTGCCTCTTCCCTGCGGGCTCGGCTGCGCCTCTGCCCGCTCTGCAGGGCAAGCGCTGCATCGGCCTGCCCGGGGCGAGGAGCAAAGCGGGATTCCCGCAAAAGGCGCGCCTCTCGGAGCCTCCTCCTGTGCTGACCCGCCACAGTCGCCCCGTGCGGGTAGGATCGGAGGCGGCGGAGGCCGGCCAGGACCGGGGATAGGGGAGAGAGTCTACCCGGGATAGCAGCCCCGGCCCCGCAGGGCTGGCCCGTGAGTGGAAAGTTTCCCCGGAGTGACCTCTCATAGTACGCGCTCGCTAGGAAATCTCATTCAAGTATTTTTGTCAATGGGGTGGGGGGGGCATCCTGTTCCCCGGCCCCCGGCCCGGCTGACGTCACTGCAGAGGCGATAAATATCTGTTGATATAATTGGACGTGAGATTTGGGGTTGCGATAGCGAAACTCTGCCCATCGCCGCTCCGACGGGCCCCCATGATTTATTCAGCAGTAGATCGGGGCACGCAATCGGGCTGTCAGGAGAGCGTCAGCTTATTAGGCAAGTTCTGCGTGATTCCAGGAGAGGGTCTAAGCTATAAAAATCCCGCGCCCCGGCTCTGACTAGGACCAAATCTGATCCCAAGTTCGCCAGGAGCCGACTCCGAGGGAGAGCGAGAGGAAGGGACGCCGGGCACTGCAAAGTCCCACCACCTGCCCTGCCCTGCCCTGCCGCCGCCACCGCCGCCCCAGGTAGGTGCGGGGTCGCGTCTGGCGCAGAGAGGGATGCGCTGCCCTGCTCTGAGCGGGGCTGAGCGCGGAGTCCCGCAGAACGCGAGTAGCTGCCCCGGCCGGCCATGGTGCGGGGAGACTCTGGGGAGCGGACGCTAGCACCCCGCAGCTCTTGGGGAGAGCTGCCCCTCCGCAGACGTTCCACACTCCCCCTCGCCCGGAGTGGGTGAAGGGGCGCGGGTCCGAGCACACGCATGGACTCTCTGCAGGGGTTCAACCCAGCTTGGTCCCCGGGATCTGTCCGGAGCTGCCCCGCGGGGCTGTTCTCCGAGGAGCAGCCGCCTCGACGGCACTGGTGGACGGGCCGGGATGAGTGCGGTCGGGCGGCGGTGTGCGGTGTGCTGTGTGCGGTGTGCGGGGCGCGGAGGGGCGCGGAGCGGCGCGTTTCAGCACCGGGACAGCGGCGGCGGGGGCGTCCCGTCCCCGCGCTGCCCTCCCCGCCGCTGCTGCGGCTCGGCTGTGTAACCCAACCCTCGTTCCTCGTCTGCCTCCGCAGATTTGGGCCCCGACCATGAAGATCCCGCTACTGGTCTCCACGGGAATTCTGCTGGTCGCCCTCCTGCCTTGCCAGGAGTGCAGAGCTCTCAGCAAGAGTCCGGCAGCCGCCCGCGGGGCTCTGCACCAGCCAGATTTCTTCCAGCAACAGCAGCAGCAGCAACAGCAGCAGCAGCAAACTCTGCCTGTCCTGCTCCGCATGGGAGAAGAGTATTTCCTGCGCCTGGGCAACCTCCACAAGAGACCCCTTGGCTCTTTCTCCGCCTCCTCCAGCAGCACCAGCCACCTACAGCCCGAAGCCTCCGCCAGCAACTTTTTCCGGGCGGCGGTGCAACAGCTGCAGCAGCTGCCCAAGCGCTCGCCGGGGAGCCCCGAGAACGGCGAAGCCGAGGGTGAGGCCGTGGAGAGGGAAAAGCGATCCGAGGAGCCCCCTATTTCTCTGGATCTGACTTTCCACCTCCTGCGAGAAGTCTTGGAGATGGCCCGAGCCGAGCAGTTAGCCCAGCAAGCTCACAGCAACAGGAAACTGATGGAGATAATCGGGAAGTGAAACGGCCCCGCCCCACCTTGCCAAAGAGATTCCGCAGTTAGCACAAGAATAATTACACCGTCCGATGTACCATAGTGCTGCTCTGATGTCATCTCTTTATTTTTATATAGCTTTAAACCTAGAAGGGTGTGCTCCGAACAGCCTCTGTCCCTTGACTAGCATGCACAACCGTGTACCAAGTGCAGAAACTCGAGTGTCGTTCGTAACCTCCCCTACCTTTATTTATTTCTCCATTTCCCAGTTATTCTAGTGCCATCGCTACGTAGGGATGTGTGATCATTGGAAGAAATGGTGCCAAGAAGACAGAAAACTTTTCTGCTAGGGGCAGGGAGGTGGGAGGGGGAATCTCTGTAAGCTACTTTCAATTCACTTTTTTTCCTGTAAACATTTTCACAATAAAACATCTTTTCAGCGCTCGGTCGATTTGGTTGTGTAAGAGAATGTTTAATATTTATATTTTTAATAAAAGCTGCAAAGTAAAGACGACTTGATAGACTTTCTTGCCTAGACGCCTAAGGGTTGCTCCGCCTCTCTCAGCGCTTACCGGGGCGTAGGGGGGCACCCGCGTCCGCGGGCACCCGGGGAGCCCTATATAGCCCCCGGGGTTGTTTTTCCCCTCCCCGCCCCGGGAAGCCCCCGTCCCCGCCGGCTCTCCCAGAGGTGCGCCCCGACGGGGGCTGCCCCACGCCGCCGCCCTCGGCACAGGCTACTCCCGGGAACGGGGTATCGAGGGCAAATCGCTGCCCCTCAGCACTGCCGAATTCCATCTCGGTAGCCCCCCGAGGGGGCTCACTGGCTCCTACCGCTGTGGCTGGGGCCGGGCAGCCTCCTCCCACCAGAGCGCAACGATGGGAAAGCGGTGAGGTTCCCGCATCCCTTTTGCGATTTCATTCTGGCTCTGCACATCTCCCCGCACCGTAAAAAAGCAGGTTCCTCCGCGCTTTGGCTTCCCCCGTCCCAGTGGAGGTACCCAAGAAGGCTCCTTCCCGGGGGCTCTGAGTATGTGTGGAGAAACTGCCAGAGGAGCTAGGGGAAATCTCCAGGACGACTGGGAGAATATAGGAAATCCCTCACCCCGAACCAAATCCCAGAGAAAAGCTGCTCCAGCAGCCGGAGGCGATGCGGTGGCGGTGTTGGGCGGCGCTCTCTCTGGGCTGTGAGAGTTCCAGATCTTTACGTGGAGCTCGCCTGTGCAGCCCGACAAACTCTCTCAGGAGCGTTCTCCGGGGAAAACAGATACCAACGAGGGCTGATGTCACTCAGGCCAATAGCGGCAGATGTCCAGGACGGAGGTTAACCCCACACAGCCTGCTAACTGGTCTGTAGTGCCAGTTCACCAGTCCTGCTGGGACACAGCGCAGCCCTATGGCCTCACACAGTCACCTGACAAAACTGAGGGCCTGACTCAGGGATCTGGGAAAGATCCACATGTAATCCTAGTGCAGAGCTTGACACCTGGTCCCCTATGGCACCAAGCACTCCCGGCAGCCTTCCAATCTCTCTTAAACACTACTGAGTGTTGACACCCTGCTCCCAGTGACAAAAATTGCAGAATGCCACCTTAAATAGAGTTTCTAGAACTTCTTTTAAGACACAAATTTGATTTCATTAGATGGATAAATATCTGCAAGGCACATGGAACAGGACAGTCAGCATCTGCCTTTCTACAGAGCACCATTGGGACTTGAAATTAAACCTTGGCTGAGTACCTGTGACCACCTCACTGCATTCTGATTTCGTGTAAGGACATGCCCCCTTTTCTACACACATTGATGACTGAGAAGACATAGACACAGATTATGGCTGGACAGGCTGGGCAGCACTACAGCATTTGCCCCACATATTCAGAGTTGTGTCCTGCATCCACGCCTGGGGTCTTGGCCAGTGCTTTTGGTGCATGCATCTTCCTCATTCCTGCCACTGGGAATCTTCCTTACAAATAAAGTGTTTATGTGAGCGTCATCTGTTGTGGCTTAGCAGGAAGAGCAAGTCCACAGGCAGAAATGGCAGCTTCCTTCTTTCCTCCCGTGTTCCGCAGCTGTGGAGGCACCAGTACTGTCAGACACAACCCTGATTTGGGGCTGCCAAGGATGTGATAGTGTCACTGAAGTCCCCAGCACCAACAAGTGGAGATACAGGAGGATATTGAGAAGAAACATTGGTTTGGCAAAGGGTGCTATTAGTGAATATCAGACCAGCATTTTAGCTAACAACACTGATGAAGCGCTTACCCCTATGAGGGGATGTGCCAAAAGGTGAGTAACAAAACACACTAGCAGTGCTCAGCATAAAGCTGTAGTGATGCTACTTTCCCCTTGCAAGTAAAAAATTATTGGAAAACACTTTGACTACAATATAGTATAGTAATTTGTCCCCATGCTCCCATCCCTCTCAGATCTGTCATCTCAAGGGTATGATGTGGAGGCCAACTGAGTTCCTGGGAATGAAACCTGCTCGGATGCCCCTTTCCAGGTCAGTTTCTTCGCTGACTGCAGCCAGACTGCCTGTGCTCACGGTCCCTCCCAGGAGAAGCACACCAGAAGCCAGCCAGAGTGAGTCATCATTCATTCAGTGAGTTCAACCAGGAGAAGGAGAAAACATGACGAGCCGGCTCGTCACCCCTCTCACTGCTCACAGGCGCTTCCTCCACTCGTCCTTGATCGTATGGTTCAGAACCAGTCTGCAAAGGAAGAAAAGGTTGACAAAGGGAAGAGGAAAATATGAATTGCACTAAAATCCTTAAGATTTCACAACATGCAGGAAAACAGAATGAAGTGGGAAAGAGGGGAAAAGGCAGGGAGCATGGAAATTTGGGGAGGCCAGCCAGACTTCTAACACCAGAGAAGTCAGAGGGACTTTTGCCATGACCACTGGCAGAGGAAGGATTGTGCCAGATGAGTATGTTACATTTGTGCAAAGGGTTGTCCCGATTAGGACCTCTGGAATATTATTGCACTGAAGGTGATTAATGCCTGTTCAGAAGAGATTCTGAGCCAGCTTGGCTTGTGTAGCTGGGCCTCCAGATTGATGTGAACCAAAGCCAAAAGTTATTGCCAGTGCATTGCCACTCAAAATGATTCTTGTTCTGCTGTTATGAAATCTGCCTTGGATGTGTTTTCTGGTTTTTTTTTTCCTTTAAAGAATTTTAATATTTATTTCACTTCAGTTTCACTCAGATCAAGAACAGGAAATAAATAATACAGAGATAAAAGCTTCTGTTTATTTCCCATTTTTGTTTGCATAGGTATCCTACACATACAATAGAAAAATGAATCTTGACATGATATACTGTAGTTGCTAATTAAAGGAATTTCTAAAATTAGTTGAATATTTAACAGACAAGTGTAATAGGTGGAAATATTTTACTAGTTCCAGTGTTTTCAGATCCTTTTGGCAGAGAATGAAGACATCTTTGTGATAGTATCAGAAATCCTATTAAAAATAAAATACATAAAAATTGGTGATTTGTTAGCTAAGGAATACCTTATGTCTTCATCATTAAAACCACAGTCTAAATTGCAATATACAGGATTTTTTCCCTCAAATTCCTAGATATGCACATACATCATTGTACATTCTTAAAATTAAAACAGATATACTACCAGCCTTCTTTGTGCAGAGTTTCACCTTACTTTGGGAACTGCAGCATGATCATGATCTCAGGTGAACTATTTGATGTAAACATACTACTCAATAGAGGGAAAATGACAAAATAGTATCCTCTGAATTTTGATATGTCCTGAAATTGTCCTAAAACAGAAAGTTACCAAAACAGTGATGCTAACAGACATATCCAGCAAAAAACATGGAAGCAGGGATGCTTATGAGGAACTGAAGCATGAGATGGATTATTTTCCTAAGCATTTTTGTAAGTACTTACTATTAAAGTTTGCCACAAGAATTAGTAAGAACTAATTTACACTAGTTAAGTGTAAATTGGCTATTGGGCTTCATTCTGGTCACTACCTATTTAAATGTCATGACACCAACGAACAAGACAGTATGAAGACATGAAAAAGTAGCTCCCTATTTCTTTATTCATATCTAATTAGAGTTCACCGTGCCATTTTTAGACCCAGATCCTAAACTGGAATAACCCTATTTATGAAACATTATCTGAGAAACTGCTTTAGTATTTGAAATGTGGGCTAATCTTTGACTTAGATTCGTATTTTCAAAACATGGCACTCATTGCTACTCATTACAATATACAGGACTCAAAGGATATTTTTGGGCAAGGATCTTGCAGAAGAATATAGTTTTTGCTTGCTAACTTTATAATGTACTTTAATGAGAGTACAAGCATGGTGAAAAATGTGGGAGAAATAGCTGCCTGCTTGAGTGTGGAAGTTCATTTTCAGCAATGTCAATGAGTAGGGTTGTTTCCCAGACTTATGCAAAAGTATGGTAAAGAATTTGGCCCAGGGGACCAGATCTTCAGCTGAAAGGCAGGTAGCTAATTGAGTCCCGAATATAGAAGATCTTCACGTCACACCTGTGAAGTGCTGATTGCAAACCTTTCAACCTGATTATAAAAGTCAGGTTTCAGCAGTAAATATATGGCTAGACTTTCTGAGTTATATGGGATTCAGGGCTCTCTTGATCTTGGTAGATGTAGGAGCGTAGGTGGTTTATGAGTCTTCTGTGATGCTGAAAATTTTGCCTTTATTTTTGGAAAGGCAGTCAGAATGCCTGCACCAGCCAAGAGTAATTTTGAAACTGGTTGTGGTTGTGCAATTTCATGCACCGAGCCCTCAGCAGTGTGTGTAAGCAGGCATGGGACAGCTCTCCTCACTTCTCACTCTGTAAATGGATAGGACTGGCAAGAAGTTTAAAACAAAATTCCTGCATTTTTATTCCTTTTTTTTTTACTTAAACCCATGCTGATACCTTGTCATTTCTCCTCCTGTGCAGTACAGGCTTCCTTTAGCACTTCCACTTGCTATTCTAACCAGTTACTATATAGAAATTGACATTAAATCAAGATTAACTTTGAAGCAAAGTACTACATATGGGCTTAAAATTATGCAGCTTGTTTCATAGGATTTGGACCTAACATGTTAGAAAAAAAAGGCACAATGTAATGACTTAGACTGGCAAGGTGACTGCATTACCTTGTTAACCAACACTGCTGGTACTGCATTTCAAACAGAACAATCTTTGTCTGCATCACTGCCAAAACTGTATTTCATAATGTGTTAACTCCTTCATATTTTGCTGTGATGACATCTTCCTGTGTCAGCAAAACAATGTTGGAGCTCCAACAGATTCCCACTGGGTTTGGCTGGATGAAGCATTTGCTCCCTGCAGCTCTCTGGACTCAGCAGGCTGCTGGTCTGCAATACCTCGATGTGCCTTTCCAAGAGCTATTGTTTTCCAGCACACCCAGCCAAGAGAGAAGCAAACACAAAACTGATAATATGGACATTCCTTGGCTTTTAGACTTGTGTTTTCACACCTGTGACATTTCAGAGTTTGTGCTCTGAGTCGTCCAGTGACTGAGGTACACTCTCTTCATGTAAGACAAGAAACCACCAAAAGGTGCCAGAAGCAACTCCATCCATGTTATTAAGTCTGTTTCCCCCTTCCACCAGCAGCCTGCACAATTCAGAGTTATACAGTGTGCTGGGGATTGTCTGAGACAAAGGTTTCAACTGTAGATTTTACAGAAAACAACTTTTTTTGGAACCAGGATGTGATTCCGAAAGGCAGAATGCAGAAGCAGGTCTACTCAGTGTCACTGGGATTCAGGTATCTGACTGCTCTTTAGTTCCTTGGAATCTCATCCCGGACTACCTTACTCTCCCTGTTACCACAACCCTACTCTGCTGAGAGAGGAAAGCTTTGTGCTGAGCATGGCACAGCCCTTGCCACATGCCTTTAAGACAGTTCAGATTCAACACTTCATCATGTCTGTCCATTGCTATTAAGTAACTTTTGTCAAGCTTCTACCTGAGCTTTATCTTAGCCTTGGAGATCTCATGGGTAGGGCTTGTTTTTCACATTACCTAGATTAACAAGTCCCAACCCTTGATTTGGGTCCCTAACAGTAATAAGGAATAACTAAAGTGTTTACCTCAGATTACATTAATCACATTAGGCCAATGCTGAGAGAGTGCTGAATACTTACACTTTGATTTATATTCTCCCCTGTGGTGTCGAGTGACATCAGATGATGCTTTCAATGAGCACCAGGAATTTTCACCAGGCCAGCTCATGAAGTGGGGAGGGAAGTACAACATGCATGACTGATGGTTGGTTTTGTTTTTCCCATAAAAGCAAAGTCCAGGCTGGAGTTTACATGCCAGTTCTTTGGAGGTGCTGAGCAACCACAATTCCCACTGAGCAGCCATTCAGCACTCCTCAGCATCTGGCATACTAGAATTTGTATGAATAAACAGTATAAGGATCTCAGAGTTGAGCCTGATGAGTACTTTCAAAGTTATAGTTATTCAGCAACTGTCAGTATTTGCTTCTTTAAACAGGGGTCTACTTAAATCTGTATAAGGTTCTTGTAAAAGAGTGTGGAGAAGAGGAAAGAGGTGAGTGGGATGGCTTTGTCATAATATTTTCATTTATTAGGTCCCAGCAGTTATCCTATTTATGCTGGGGAAAAATATGAAGTCTAGGCCTTCTAGATATTGAAGTCAACACATTGTTTTCTGCTCTACCACCATGAATCTCTGTAGCCTTTAGGTACAGACACTGGGATCCATATTGCCAAATCTGAGTAATCCAGAAACGAGATATCCATGCAAGCAAACTGGATTCATCCCCTTCAATGGGAGTGATAAGAGAAAGGCACAATCAAAGGGTGATTTGTCCCATCCTCAAAGAAGTGGATTGCCCTCTGGAGGTACCTGTTTCTTTCTACTGACTCTAGAGATGCTCTGTGTGACTAAGTTAGACTAGGTCTGTCTTTTAAGTAAATACACAAGGGAGATCCCAGCCAAGTATTTCAGGATATCAGAAAACTGCTTGATAGGAACTGAGAATTTTGACTGCATTTTTATTTTTACGAGATCACTAACTCTTAAATTTAGGCAGTGGGGAGGAAAGGTGAAGGGTCTTCATAATCACTTTAATGCAGATGGAGAGATGGTTGGTTGTAACCTACATGAATGTTTTCTGAAGCAACAATGCTAACCAAAGCAGGTTCTGCACCTTGGGTCCCCATCCACCTCTTCCTACTTTGTTTCCGTGGTTCACTTCCCATTTGCACTGCTGCAGCTCTTTGCAGGAATGAGCTAAGAATGGGAATGTCACTGGAATGACATCAATTTTTTTTGTTGGTTTTTTTGAGGTGAAGGAAGATATTTTTAAACCTGGACCATTTGAATGATTTGATTCCAGCACAGCTCAACAAACAGCTGCCTCAGCACAATTGCCCTGTGAGTGGTGGCATCTGGGCAGCAATAAGAAGCAGAGCCATTTGGCAAGAAACTCCTAAATCACCTTTGCTGCCAGAGGAAAAAATGAATCTACACTCTTAGAGCCACAGTGCCTTCACTGCCTCCTTTTGACCCAACAGGAGAACAAGAGTGTGAATTTGTTAGAAAGTGTGGGTCTTGGAGAGAGAAGCAGTGAAAATAAGAGGTTTCTTGTTTCTAGGGTTTCTGTAGCCTCAGAAAATGAGCAAGAAAACAAATTTAATTCCCATTTTTAGCTGGCTTGTTTAGA